ACAGGTACCATTATTTATCTCTTGAGTTACACACAGAAAGCTGAGACCTGAAAGGTCACATAACGCGACCAAGGTCATGCAGACGACAACCTGATGGTTGAGCTGAGCTCTTCCCACTCCTTTTCAGCTCTCTGCCATCATGTTATTCATGAAGCAAGTGGCCTGTCTGCACCGCTCTTTCTTCAGCATGTATTTGAGCGTGGTAGAACCCCTTGCCCTGTTTTAACCCTACCAGACCTGAGGCCCTGAACCTAACTGTCCCCTATACCTGGGCTCCTGAGCATTAAAGAGAAAAAACCAACATGATATAGAAAAATGTTAGTTACATTCAAACAAGTGGTTAGAATAAGATGGAACTTGGAGACATTGTAGAAAATAGGTCTACCTTTCATCTAGCGCCAGTATTCCACCTTTGTGTGCCAATCCACCCAGCAGGATGAGCCTTGTTTCACACAGAGGTACCTCTTGCAAAGTGAGCACCAGATGTTGCTCTTCACCTTCTTGCATGGATTGTCTTTGTAAGACACTCCAGGATTTTGCTTGTTGTACCTGGAGTGCTTTTTCCATGCACACAACACAGATATGATTAGATAAGATATGATTAGAAATTACCGAAAAATTGGTACAGCGGTCTGGTAGGGTTAAATATCCATGCATGTGGTTAACTAACATCCGTTGAGCTTTTCTGTGTCCTGGGGACTTTGCTAGGCACTGGGGATAGACTCAGGAATGAGTTGGTCCTGTCACATGCAATGGGAGGAGGATGGGGACAGCTTGGTGAGGAGATCCCAGGAGGAAGTGGGCAGGTGGCAGGCTTTCCCTCACCCCAGCATACCTCTGGTCCTGGGCTCTTGGGAAGTATGTGTGTGTTTTGGGAGAGGGAGGTGTGGGAGGGCCAGGTGCCTCTGACCCTTCATCAAGCTTAGACCGAAAAATCTTGAGAAAGTATTGGCTAGCTCTGTGGGATAGTTAAAACATAAGACCTCCCTTATCTTCCGGTTCCTAGGAGAGTAAATTAACTTTTCTTTTGCATGGTTATCAACAGAGATGTAAGAGAAAAATTAACCTTTCTCTAACATGAGTCAGATTATTCTATTATCTAAAAGAGAGGGTCCAGGAAGCAACTCATTAATTTAAATAAACTAGAACATGTGGGAAGTTCAGAAGGATCAGAGTTGTAAGTATATAGGGCCTCATGGTCTATTTTCACCCTGGGCCTACTTATCTCACCTGCCATTGTATAGTTAGCCTCTTGAGATTGTCTCTGCCTTACTTACAAGAGAAAAACACTTCCTGTACTGTTTTGTGCTGGCATTAGTTATCTGAAGAATGACAAATAACACTGACTCTGTCTGGACGAGATAAACTGAGAGCAGACCCTCTTCCAGGCCCTGGTAACGCAGAGAGGACCATTGGCACCCAGGAGCTTGTTAGAGGTGTGCAGACCCAGCGATCAGAATCTGCATTCTAACAAGACCCCAGGTGATTCATATGTATATTAGTTTCAGCAGCACTGGCCCAAGCCAGACTAAGCCAACCGTATTTTTCCCAGGTGTAGAGCCGCCTAAGGATGCACTTTGTTCTGGTCCATTCTGCAGTTGCCTGGGGCACACGCCTGTCAGTGGAAGCAAACGCTTTGTGCTTCACCCTGCCTACTCTCCTGACACCCACCAGTGCTTGCCAGTTAGCTTTTCTGCTTAATTAAACCCTCAGAAATATATTTCATTAAGTTTTGGGGTCAAATTCAGCATGTGTCAAAACAGCTTTTATAAAGTTAGGACTTAAATACAATGAATGGCACATATTTAAAGTTTGTGCCATTTGCTAAGTTTTGACATGTGTATATCAATGAAGCCATCACCATGACCAAGATAATAAACATACCCATCACCCACTACCGCTAAAGTTTCCTTGTGCCTCTTCCCATCCTCCCTATACCCCCAAGTAACCACTAGGTAAATTTGCATTTTCTAGAACTTTATGTGAGTGGAATCATACAGCGTGGCCTCTTGTTTGTCTGGCTTCTTTCAGCACAATTACTTTGAGATTCATCATGAATACCATGTATCATCTCTATTTCTGAGTAGTATTTCGTTGTATGCATATAATAGTTTATTTATATACTTGTTAATAAAAATTTGGGGTTTCCAGTTTTGGGCTATTTACAAATAGGTCTGCCATGAACATTTGCTTAGAAGTCTTTATATGAGCCCATGCTTTCATTTTGATTGGAAAATAAATACCTAGGAATGGAATACCTGGATCATATGGTCCACGTAGGTTTAACTTTTTTAGAAAGTACCAACAATTTTCCAAAGTGATTATACCATTTTATATCCCCACCAGCAGTATATAAGAATTCCAGTTCCTTTACATCATCACAGTGTATAAGAATTCCAGTTCTTTTACATCATCTCTAACACTCGGTATTATGTGTATTTTTTATTACACCCACTCTAGTGGAGTTGATATAACCAAATCTCGTTGCTTTTTTTTTTTTTTAAAGATTTTATTGAGGAATTGGAGGAGGGGAACAGCGTTGGGGAATCAGGGAAGGGGAACAGACAAGTTGCTGTCCTTTTGCTCTTCAGTCTAGTTGTGGAGGACGTCACTTCACTGGCCCATGTTGGTATTACCATTGCGCTCTTCCCAGGTGAGGCAGTCACTTGTCAGCCATTGGACGGCTGCTCATGGCGGTTCACGGCAGCTCACAGCAGCTTATGAAAGTGCACACCAGCTGCCGGCCAGCTGCCGGTCAGCCCCACTGCAGCCTACGCCATCACTGGCAACTCACAGCAGCCCAGCTCCAGGTCAAGCTGTTGTTCACCATCTTAGCTGTAGAGGGTGCAGCGTCACTGGCCTTCATGTGGGATCCCAACTGGGGTCCTGCTGCTCAGAGCTGGCGTCCTAAGCTAACTCCTAACCAACGTGCCATTCAGGCAGCCCTCATTGTCATTGTGGTATTTTGTTTGTTTGTTTGTTTGTTTGTTTGTTTTAAGATTTTTATTGGGGAATTGGGGAATGGGAACAGCGCTGGGGAATTGGGGGCAGGGGAACAGACAAGTTGCTGTTTTTCTTTGTTGTTGTTCTTCTTCAGTCTAGTTGTGGAGGACATTGCTTCACTGGCCCAAGTTGGCACCATCATTGGGCTCCTCCTGTGCACGGCAGATCAGTCGCCGGCTTCTGGACGGCCGCTCACGCTGGCTGCTGGCTACACACGGTAGCCCATGGCAACCCACTGCAGCAGGGTCTACAGCCTATGCCGTCGCTGGCAACTCACGGTAACCCAGCTCCAGGTTGAGCTGTTGTTCAGCATTTTAGCTGTAGAGGGCCGTGTCACTGGCCCTCATATGTGTGATCCAAACCGGGGCCCTCTGGCATCCCAAGCCAGCTTTTAACCAACGCACCACTCGGCCGGCCCTCATTGTGGTTTTAATTTGCATGTTATTAATAAGCATCTTTTCAAGTGGCAGTTGAAATAATTAATTGGGTTGTATGTTATTGTGTTTAAGAGTTCTTTAAGCATTCTGGGTTCAAGTTCTTTATCAGATAAGTGATTTGCCAGTATTTTCTTCCAGTCTGGGCTTGTTTTTCCTTCTTTTAATAGTGTCCTTCAAAGAGCAGTAATTTTTAATTTTGATGAAGTTTAATTTATCAGTTTGTTCTCTTATGGATTGTACTTGTAGTGTTGTATCTAAGAAATATTTGCCTAAACTAAGGTCACAAAGGATTTTTCTTAGATTTTTTTATACAAGGGTTAGGATTTTAAGTTAGGTTTTATGTTTAGGTCCATAATCCAGTTTGAGTTCATTTTTGTATATGGAACATGGTACGATAAACCAGCATCGTTTGTGGAAAAGATTATCCTTTCTCCTCTGAGTTAATTGCCTTTGAATCTTTGTGGAAAATCACCTGTCCGTATATATGTAAATAAGCCTCTTAAAATGTCCAGGGCCTGGCTATAGGGAAAACTACTGATGAAAGCAGTGAGAACTCTGGGTTCCCAAGGGTCAGAGCGATTGCTGCTCATGGAGCTTGGAGTCAAGCATTGGGGCCCTTAAATGGTGTCTTGAGCTTCCTCGGGAGTCCAGCAACAGTGTACTTGCAGAGTGTACCATCCTTGGGCAAGTTGAGGAACCTGTCCCTCAAATTATTTTTGGTGGGGCTAAGTTCTCTCACAGACCTCTGTTGATCTAGTACCCTTCCTAGACGCATAGGAGACACGTTAATTCATTACGTACAGTGGGTGCCTTAAGACAGTGTGGCTTAATTCTCTCCTAGAATTCTGGTTGAGAAGGGCTGCTGGACCGACAAGGAGACCAAGATTTAGAAAGCTGGGAGGCCTCATCGCTTCACGGAATTTCACAGTTGCACAGGATCTGGAAAGTTCTGGGCTAGCCCCTTCCCAATCTGAGATAAGACATGATTCTAGGCAGTGGTGGAGCTGGCCACACATTGCCACTGTTGAGACCCTGTTCTCTGCTCACCACTGTGCATCTCAGCTGTCCCACGTGGAGACACCTGTTCTCCTAGAGGCTGCAGACTGGAGGACGTGCTGCTACCTTCCGGAACTGCTGGAGGCAAGAGTCCGAGAGCAGTTGAGGCCTGGGTCAGTGGGGTGAGCTGCCCATGGCAGGGCCCTCACAGGAGCTCCTTTTGTTCCTGTGGTCTCTCTCCCGTCCCTATCGGTTCTCACCCAGCCTTGCCAGCCTCTGTGCTTGGACTCCTGTCGGGCCCTCTGGGCAGGAAATCCAGCGCTGGTGTCCTACTGGACTTTGAAGTCTTTGGGTCTAGCCTGAGTCAGGAAGTAGAGCAAGCAGGTTTGGCTCTGGGATGCAGGTTTGTATTCATGGTGCGTTCCTGGAGGGGCAGAGTGACTCCGGGGCACAGGAAGCAGTTCCTCACATGCTTTCACTTTTGACCTTGATCCCTCTGTGTGTGTGACACAGACCCACGTCGGCAAATCAGAACACTCCCCTAACAGACTTTTTGTTTTCCAGGCGCTCCTAGCAGGCATGCGGAACCGGGAGAACAGCTCGCCCTGCCAGGGCAACGGGGAGCAGGCCAGCAGGGGCAAGAACTTGGTCAACATGTGGCCCGGTGAGGAGGAGCCCTGCAATGACGTGACCACCCCCTCCTACAAGAAGCCTCTGTATGGCATCTCGCACAAGATCATGGAGAAGAAGAACCCCCCCGCGGGGGACGTGCTCAGCACATACGAGCTCTTGGAGAAGGCAAACTCCAGCAACAGCCCCTCACCGCTTCGGCTCCTAAACGAGCCACAGAAACGGGAGTGTGGCAGTGCGGCCACAGCCACCGAAGGCGACCCCAACATCTACTTCCTGATCCAGAAGATGTTTTACATGCTCAACACACTGTCCTCCAACATGTCGCAGCTGCACAGCAAGGTAGACCTGCTGTCCCTGGAAGTGAGCCGCATCAAGAAGCAGGTGAGCCCCAGCGAGATGGTGGCTAAGTTCCAGCCGCCCCCCGAGTACCAGCTCACGGCAGCCGAGCTCAAGCAGATCGTGGACCAGAGCCTGTCGGGCGGGGACCTGGCCTGCCGCCTGCTGGTGCAGCTCTTCCCCGAGCTCTTTAGCGACGTGGACTTCTCCCGCGGCTGCAGTGCCTGCGGCTTTGCGGCCAAGCGGAAGCTGGAGTCTCTGCATCTGCAGCTCATCCGCAACTACGTGGAGGTGTACTACCCCTCGGTGAAGGACACGGCTGTGTGGCAGGCTGAGTGCCTGCCCCAGCTGAACGACTTCTTCAGCCGCTTCTGGGCCCAGCGGGAAATGGAGGACAGCCAGCCGGGGGGCCAAGTCGCCAGCTTCTTTGAGACCGAGCAGGTGGACCCTGGCCACTTCCTGGACAACAAAGACCAGGAGGAGGCCCTGTCTCTCGACCGGAGCAGCACCATCGCCTCGGACCATGTGGTAGACACCCAGGACCTCACCGAGTTCCTGGACGAAGCCTCGTCGCCCGGCGAGTTTGCCGTCTTCCTTCTGCACCGGCTCTTCCCGGAGCTCTTTGACCACCGGAAGCTGGGTGAGCAGCACAGCTGCTATGGGGATGGCGGCAAGCAGGAGCTGGACCCGCAGAGGCTGCAGATCATCCGCAACTACACGGAGATCTACTTCCCCGACATGCAGGAGGAGGAGGCCTGGCTGCAGCAGTGCGCCCAGCGCATCAACGATGAGCTTGAGGGCCTGGGCCCGGACGGGGGCAGCGAAGGCGAGCCCCCACGGGACGACTGTTACGACTCCTCCAGCCTGCCCGACGACATCTCCGTGGTCAAGGTGGAAGACAGCTTCGAGGGCGAGCGGCCCGGCCGGCGGTCCAAGAAGATCTGGCTGGTGCCCATCGACTTTGACAAGCTGGACATCCCACAGCCCGACTTCGAGGTGCCAGGCGCCGACTGCCTGCTCAGCAAGGAGCAGCTGCGCAGCATCTACGAGAGCAGCCTGTCTATCGGCAACTTCGCCTCGCGCCTGCTGGTGCACCTCTTCCCCGAGCTCTTCACCCATGAGAACCTGCGCAAGCAGTACAACTGCAGCGGCTCCCTGGGTAAGAAGCAGCTGGATCCGTCCCGCATCAAGCTTATTCGCCACTACGTGCAGCTGCTCTACCCCCGGGCCAAGAACGACCGCGTCTGGACGCTGGAGTTTGTGGGCAAATTGGACGAACGCTGCCGGCGCCGGGACACGGAGCAGAGGCGCTCCTACCAGCAGCAGCGCAAGGTCCACGTGCCGGGCCCCGAGTGCAGAGACCTGGCAAACTATGCAATCAACCCTGAGAGGTTCCGAGAGGAATTTGAGGGGCCCCCACTGCCCCCCGAGAGAAGCAGCAAGGACTTCTGCAAGATCCCTCTGGATGAGCTGGTGGTTCCCTCGCCCGATTTCCCGGTGCCTTCGCCGTACCTGCTATCAGACAAGGAGGTGCGCGAGATCGTGCAGCAGAGCCTCTCGGTGGGCAACTTCGCCGCCCGGCTCCTGGTCAGGCTCTTTCCCGAACTCTTCACGGCCGAGAACCTCCGGTTGCAGTACAACCACTCCGGGGCCTGCAACAAGAAGCAGCTGGACCCCACGCGGCTCAGGCTTATCCGCCACTATGTGGAGGCGGTCTACCCCGTGGAGAAGATGGAGGAGGTGTGGCACTACGAATGTATCCCCAGCATCGATGAACGGTGCCGCCGCCCCAACAGGAAAAAATGCGACATCCTGAAGAAAGCCAAGAAAGTGGAGAAGTAATGGGCACCCTGGGGCCTGAGCCTTTTGGAGCATGTGTATGGTATCCACAGACAGGCACCTTATGTCAGTGGGAAGTGGCTTACTACTTTTGCACACGTAGTCACCCACCCAACCACAAGGAAGATGCCTTGCCTTTGGCCTCTCCTACTTCCGACTTCCGTGCTGAGTTCCCGGTGATGCAGCCAGTTTGGGGCGGGCCGAGATGTGAGAGCAGAGAGGCCTTGGGGTGAAGGGTTCTCTACCCTTGGCTGTGTCCTCCCCTTCGCCTCAATTTGAAACGCAGATTCAGCAACTCTCTTGTTCCTCTTCCCACATTTTACATCTAACATTTTTATCAATTTTTTCTAATTAAAAAGAAACCCTTTTTAAACAGATCATTGGGCTCTTTGGGGGCCATTTTGCTTAGAAAAAATTCTTTTACTATTCGAGTATTCGAGTTGAAGTACTGTAAAATGACTTCAGTTGCTGGGATTCCTTTTTAAGATGGTTTCAGATTTATGAAATTTTTAGAAGTGCCATGTTCATGCATGATAGCGGATAATAATAGCTTCAGGTAGCATAGACTGATTTTACTGACCTTGTCTTTTAAATCTGATTTTGAAAGAGTCAGGATGTCCCTTGGATGGCAGTCGAGGGGATGGAATAGTGGGACGTTCTGACCATGGTCGCGTTCTCCCTTCTACTGTCATGCTGAGGAAGGGGCTTTCACAGCCTGGCCTGTTCATCGTTGCTTTGTGCTGTCGGTAGAATGTTGTGCTCACTCTCTGTAGACAAGAACACTGGATGATGATGATGATGATGATGATGATGATGATGATGATGATATGAATGTAGATAGACGTGGAAACACGTTCACAATGTCATTTGAGCTGTGTCCTTCCACTGCCCCATTCCCTCTCCACATGAGGATGCTGGTTGGAGGGGCAGACAGACACATTTCCTTGGTAAACAGTCTGTGTGGATAATCGGTCTCACGTTTGATTTAAGGTTGGGTCCCTTTGGGCTCACCAAGAACTGTTTACTTTCTGTGTGTGTATTTGTACAAAACCCAGGTTCTGGGAGCTGTATGGTGACTTACCACACCTCAGTGTTAGCTCCTCCAGTCAGTATGCATCCTTGTTCCTCACAGCCAGCTCAGACCCTCAGGCCCTCTTGAGGATACCTGGTATTGGAAGGACACAGGTCATCTCAAACGGGGCTTCCATGTCCCTTTCCAGGGTCCCATCAGAGCTTTCCCCTCAGACCCTCTAGAAGTACATTTGGTTCGTCATGAATGTACTGTGTTGTAACCAAGGTCCTGCTGTCCATCTGGCTGGTCCCTTGGCCTCGGGGTGAGATGTCTCTTCTCTCCCCACTGACTGGTTGGGAAAGTCAAACTGCTTCAGGCCAGTGGTATATTCTCCAGGAGTTCCCTCCAGGAAATTTCCTAACAGTTAAAGTCCTTAAAAACTTTACCTACCTGGCTTTTACCTACCTGACTTTGGGGGCCAAATGCTTGGGAGGGAAAGGAAAGTCTAACTCAAACTGAACACATCATACCAGAAACCTGGAAAATGAATGAATCACACAGGGTAGTCATAAAACCCTTGTGGCTTAATGTGTTGCTACCTTAACATGCAGAAATAATAGAAATAACCTGTGAATTATCTTTATACAGCTGATAAGGACTTCGGTTCTGGTGGCTGTATGACATAATTTTGCCTGCACCTAGCAGGCTTTTTATATATATATCTGAGACAGGATTTTGAGCAATGTAAACTTGTTGGTCTAACTTTAGTAAATTTGCTTTTAAATGTCATTTACAGATTATTTCTGTTGAAACTACAGACCTAAATTATTGAAATCTAGAAATGCACAGGGACTTAATGACTCTCTCACCCACCCACACGCGCACACACATTTCTTATTAAAAACTGAAGTGAGATGAAGGGGACCTACATGAATCAGTTCAACCTCTTTGTGCCTGGAAAGAAGGGACTGGAGCAGCCAGGAGGCTCACTTTTCCTCCCCCTACCTGGGTCTTTCTCTATGCCTTAGCCTGTCAAACACACTAATAATGCACACACACGCCCTACCCAAAGATGGCAGCGGTACTCGCCTGTTGGCCCTGTTGGTTGGAGGGGGCCGTGGAATTTGTTCTGGTCTCTAGGATGTATCCAAGAGGATTCCAAGCCATGTGAAAATTGCCCTGCTTTCTAGACGGTGGAATGTGACCCTGCAACGTTAGAAGCACAATCATTTATTAATAATTTTTTTAAAAAATTCTATCTACCCACGTTAAAGAAATCCGGTTCTAGGAATGAAATATGTCTCTATAACCTAGAGTGTGCTCAATTTTTGGAAACCTTATTTTGGTGGTTTCCTTAATACTTGTCTTGTGTAGGGCTTCTTCCCCCCAAATCTTAGAGTCTCTTTCAATGAAGACAGGTGGACACACTCTGGGAGCTGTTTTCTGGCCCTCTAGACTGTCTCATCAGGAAACGCCTGCAGGTCCTGCGTCTGTCTGTATGGCATCCTCAGTTCCCCAGCCATACAGGTGGGCTCCAGGGGCAGTTTTTTACATGAAGCAATAGAAGTACAAAATACTTTTTTTTTTTCAAAATTCAATAAAATCCATCAAATTTCTATTAAAATCTGTTGGCAAATCCCTTCCCCGCCCCCATCTAAATTCTTTGGTTTTCACTGGCTTTGTTGGTTTTTTTTCTTTTTTGGCCTTGTATCTGGAGGACTAAAGAATAGCACAGACACAATCTGATGTGAAGTAAAATAGCAAGTCACAATAGGTGGTAGTGTCCCTCATTTTCTGTGTTAGTGAGTTTTAAAAGAATGTATAAGATAGTCATGAATGTACTGTGTTCTAATCCTGCTTCATTTCTCTTTGGCTGTGTCTACATAACAAACATTCGACAGGGAGTCAAGTCTTTGTGTCTAGTGTCATGGGTGTTAGCATGCCCCTCCTCATTCAGTGTTGACCCTGAACCTTCTTTTAAGGGGGGAGGGGTACCATATCAACAGCAATCATCAACCAACCAATGGGATCTACTAGTGGTGAATGGATTAGCTGTTTAAATGGTAAGAGTTACTGGCCTGACCACCACAGCATGGCCACTGGGAGTCCTGTAGAGATGGCCTCAGTTTCTGCCTTTCCTCCCAAATATTTGCTTCTTGCCTGATTTGAGAGGGGGATCTCAAGACCTCTGATTGGAGGTCATTGAGCTCTCACCCTGCCTGTTTAGATAGATCATATGAATCTGGGTTAGAGGCCAAGGGGCTGCCACTGCCATTTGGAAATACTTGCCTCGTGTAGATCCAGCCTTAATGTTTTTCTGACATCCTAGTGATAGCAGATCCTGCACAAAGTGGATATCAGAGTTAATACTGTGAGAAGACAAAATAATGAGAATAGTTTTACCAAAGATAATGAACTATCACGTGATGTTTGCATTTTACCATTGATTTGAGTGCATCCTTAGAAAACTGAATGTAACAAAAACCCAGGACATTTTCGGAAATTGTATGCTCTACAGCAAGTTTGTGTGAATTTTTATACAAGCACTGTTTTACGAGTTATATAAAATGTTATAAAAATAGAAAAAAAAATGTCTCGTAACATCTTATTTTCCTAAGGCAGGGAGGTCTTTCAGAACATGTCTTGGTTTATTGGTTTTTCCGTGTGGCCTCCTCACCCATTCCCAGGGGAGGACATGAACACTCGAGGGCACCCCAAACCCTCAGGCTTCCACACTCAAGGTGTCAGGGCCGCTGCTCACAGGATTTCAGTTTGTTACAGCTGAATGACTGAGAAGTCGCCAAATAAATCCTAACCCATTTCTACCCCAACCGCTTCCTGGCCACACAGTGGGAGGTGCGTTTGACCTTTTGTTGTGTTTCCTCTTCCTTGGTGCCAGGCCCTTCCTCCCTGCTCCGAGCTGGCAGAGCTCGTTTCACTCCTCCCCTTTGGATTAAAGCTAATACGAACTGACAACAAAAGGATGCATGTGCTTTCTCGCCTCTTCTCTTTGGCTAATTATAAATCATTAACTTGAAATAATATTGTATAGTAAAAATAATGTCTCAAGCTGTCAGAGAAACTTTTTTGGGGGGGGCCCAAGTGTCACAATATATAAAGTAAGCGGTGGTTTGTGATGGGAACACTTTTCCTGCAGTGGGTGCCAGCTCAGCTGTGAGCCCCGACACCTCTGCTCTGAACCTCCTGCCGGTTAGGGCTGGTTTGGGGCTGGAGCCCCAAGTGCTAAATCCATGAGCGAGTTTAATCAAGACTTGAAGGAAAGCTAAATTCTTTAAGCCCCTTTTGGCTGTATCTTTGTTTTCTACCAAAAAGAAAATTCACAGAGAATTTCAATATTTGTGAGTTTACTTATAAAATCTAGCTCTCAGGGATAAGAACACCACACCACATTCCTTTCCATGGTCACTGGAATGGTGAGATGCAGTGGACTCCAAGGGAGCTTCCAGATAAATCTAATATCCCATGGCCAGTGCTGGGAAAGGAGTGAACTCTGAGCTCCTGTTCCTTACAATGCACCTAACATTGGTTGAATATATGCCATGTGCCAGACACACTGCTAAGAGCTGTACCTGGGCCATCTCGTAATCCTTTCAAAAGGCCTGTGAGCTAAGTTCCATAATTATACCTATTAAGACAAGAAAGCTAAGGTCCTGAAGGGAGTTATGCCATCTCAATTTTTATAAAGCTGTTCTCTGTTTTGCGGGAAGGAGGGGGAGAGGAGTAGTTTTACTGCCCAAGTTCACACAACTGGCGAATGGCAGTGTCAGGATTTGAACCCAAGTTTGTCTACTATGCCATACCGCCTCCGGAGCTAACCACCCCCTGAACCACCATGCACAAAGATTCAGATCTCAACGTGTGATGTCCTTTCCCTTACTTCCTCTAAGCCTCAGTTTGTCTGATCTTAGATATGGGTGTGCTGGTTTTGGAGTTGCCCTGGGTGAAATAATTGTGGCAATTGTGGACAGACGTGTTCTGGTAATAGTAACATTTTTGAGATTGTGAAAGTAACTGTGTGGATCACATTCCCCAGAGCAGAGCCTGAGACTCAGGTTCTTGTGCAATTGATGGAGGGCATGATGTCAGGAGGCGTGTGAGGAAGGCAGGACGGGGTCGGGGAAGGCCACAGCAGCGGGGTGGTCTCCTGCAGCCGAGCTTCAGTCCCTTCCACTGAACTCCTAGAATATGAACCATTGGGCAGAATTGGCCCCAGTTGAGGCAGAGGGGCCCGTTGATCATTGTGTGGGGTGTAGCCCAGGGGAAGAGGGCAACTCGCCTGTCAGAGTGGCTCCCTTTGGCCAAGGTAAGTGCTCCAGAAGGACCACCGTGTATGGGTAGCTGGCTCCAAACAGCTAGAGGATGGGTGCCCTGGCGATGGGGATCTGGGTGGGACTCTTATCTGCAACCAACTAGGGCCAGAACCACCAGACGGCAAGTTAAAAGGAGATGGCTGGGGCCAGCCGTGTGGCTCAGTGGTTAAGAGCTCGCTCAAGAGTGCGAGCTCTGAGCAACAGGGTCGCTGGTTCGATTCACAGCCCGAGCTGAGCTGCCAACAGGTGGCAGGATGGCTCAGATAAAAAAGAAAAAAGAAAACAAACAAAAAAAAACCGAGATGGCTGGGTCCCATTCCCCAGAGGCTCTGATTCAGCAGGACTGGGGTGGGGCCTAAAAATTTGCATTCCCCATTGATGCTGGTGTTGATGTCAGGGGCCGCACTCAGAACCACTGAACTACACTAACTTCACAAAATTTGCCATGAACGTCTGCGTACATACGGAAACTAAAGGCTTAGCTCTTTCCTGATTTTTAGAAATAGATCTGAGCTTACATAAGTGGTTTCCTGTTGTGTTCAAATAAAACTGACTACTTCTTAACTAGTGGTAAACTAAATCTTAGCGTTTAGGTCAGAGGGAAGAGGCAGGTTTACATAGGCTTCAGCATCACAGCTTAGGGGCACCGGCCAAATGTGATGGCTTTTGCCAGAACAGTTCTGCATGGAGGAAAGCATGTCTGTTGATTTTAGTTTCAAGAGTGAGAATTCATTTGTTCTTCTAGAGTTTGTAGTCCAGATGGTGAACTGTGTCCCTGGCAGATGTTGAAAGCATGTAATGCCATCGCCCCTCCTTCCAGAAGCTCCAGCAGTGTGACGGTTGTGTATTCAGAAGTGACAGTGGGTCCCTAAATTACATGGAATGCTGTTTTTCATAAAAGCTCCCATTTTCTGAACTCCTGTCATGAGTCAGGAATGTACTAGGGACCTGACAAAGCATTACTTCATTTAACCCTCGCAGACATCCTGTGGGGTGGATATTTTTATCCCCCATTTTACAGAAGGGGATGTTTCTGGAGGTTAAGGAATTTGGCCAAGGTCATACAGCTAGCCGTGCTGGGGGCCTGTATTGATGCCAGGCAACTCCAAAGTCTGTGCTGCTGATTTCCATGCTGCCACTTGTGTAGTTGTGCTTAGTAAATTTCTTCGTCTCTACCTAGTGGTCCCCCGCCATGTAACTTGGGGTTTTGCTGACTGTCCACAGTCCGAGCTTCTGGATCCGTCCAGGTGAGAGTGTTTGACTCAGGAAATCTTTCAGTGCCTCAGGAAATAGAACAAGGAATGCAGAAAGCATCATCTCCGCCTCTAAAGGAAATTCGTTCAGCAAAAATATTTGTAACACCTGCTATCTCCTGAGCACCATTCCTTGATTCTAACTAGTCTCAACCTCATTAGTTGGTAGTGAAGAAGCCTGTTTTAGCTTGGGGAGAAGGTTCTGATGGTAAACAGCACAGAACCTGACAATTGCCTGAAACTGATTTTCAAGATGCATGTGGATATAAGCAGACCCATGGCTCCTCCCCTCAGTACAGACCGCTGAAGCCATCCCAGATGTGACGGCAGCACTGGGGCCTGCCGCACACCTGCAGGAGGTTACTGCACAGTTCCTCTCCTGCTTCAGACTGAAACACAGTTGCTAAATATGCTGTGAGTGCTGGCTGCAGAACTCAATTGCCCTGGTCTTTCTGGGGTTCAGTTCCTGCTATTTCTGATCCAAGGTTTGAATCCCATCTCCTTCTTGGGTTTGACAAGCCAAAATCCTAGCATAAGCACAGTTCCAAGCGTGAGGAGACATACTTCAGCATGTGTTAGGCCCATGGCGATGGATGGGTGCCTTCTCTTCAGGTTATCAATACTGACTGTGTTGCTTAGATCCGGAATTGGCTGCTATCATTTTAGCCTCGACGTCATCTGTCTCAAAATCAAGAGTTAAGGGATTTCCCTTACAATCCTAAAGACAATTTTCTACACATGTTGTGGGGTATCTAATCCCTCTGAGTCGGGCTCCAGAAATGGCTATCACCATTCCAGACCTCTCAACAGAAATTGCCTATTTTAGACGCTTGCTGTTCTACCCTGACTGCATGCAGTCTTTGGGGCTTCACTTGTCTGACTTGGGGAAGGTCTTTCCACCTTTAAGAATAAAATCCTGGAATGGAAGGCCCACTGGGTGCAGTTGACATCTCTGCGAAGGAATCAAGAAGTACATCATGAGTGATCCATGTCCTCAGGACCTAGCAAAATTGTAGACTTTCACCATGCCTTTAAAAAAAAAAAAGATTTTCATTAAAATATAGCTAATATACAATATTATACTAGTTTCAGGTGTACACAATAGTTATTCAACATTTATAGACCTAAAGAAGTGATCACCATGATAAGTCCAGCAACTACTTGACACTGAACCATGCTATCACAATATTATTGACTATATTCCCCATGCTCTACATTACATCCCCATGAGTTACTTGTTTTATACCTGGAAATTTAAACCTCTTAGTCCCTTTCACCTTCCCCCCTTTTAAAAATTTTCAATTACAGTTGACATTCAATATTATTTTATATTAATTTCAGGCATACAGCATAGTGGTTAGACATTTATATAATTTAAGAAGTGATACCCCTGACTAGACTAGTACCCACCTGGCACTATACATAGTTATTACCATATTATTGACTATATTCCCTATTCTTTACATCCAAATGACTATTTTGTCACTACCAATTTGTACTTCTTAATCCTTTTTCCTTTTTCACCCATTCCCAACTCCCCTCCTGTCTGACAGTCATCAAAATATTCTCTGTATCTATGAGTTTGTTTCTGTTTTGTTGGTTTATTTTGTTCTTTAGATTCCACATTTAAGCAAAATCACATTGCATCTGTCTTTCTCTATCTGACATACTTTACTCAGCACAATACCCTCCAGGTCCATCTATGCAGCCTCAGATGGCAACAACACATTCCCATCCATGGCCAAGCAATACTCCATTGTATATATGTGCCACCCCCTCTTTGTCCATTCTTCGATCGAGGGACACCCAGGCTGCCTCCACATCTTGGCCATTGAAAACAATGCTGCAATGAACATATGGATATATATGTCCCCTCGAAGTAGCGTTTTGGTTTCTTCAGATAAATACCCTGAAGTGGGTTTATTGGGTCCTTCTTTGTCACTTGTTACAGCCTTTGTTTTAAAGTCTATTTTGTCTGGTGTAAGTATTGCTACCACAGCTTTTTTTGTTTGTTTTCATTTTCATGAAATATCTTTTCCCTACCTCTTTACTTTCAGTCTGTGTGTGTCTTTTGATCTGAAGTGCGTCCCTTGTAGGTAGCATATGTAAGGGTCTTGTTTTCTTCTCCTTTCAGCCACCCTATCTTTTGATTGGAGCATTTAATGCATTTACATTTAAAGTAATTCTTGATAGAGATGTAGTTTTTGCCATTTTATTATGTTTTATTAGTTTCAGGTGTACAAAACAATGTAATAGTTAGACATTTACACCCCTCACAAAGGGATAACCCCTCTCCCCCAATCTACTACCCCTCTGACATCATATATAGCTGTTACAATTCCATTAACTCTATTCTCTATGCTGTACTCCACATCCTGTGAATTAAATATAT